CAATTTTATTTTATTTATTTAAAAGCGTATTCTATAGGTTGATGCTAAGTAATATGATATTGTAATCAACTGAAATAATTATTTAACAATTAAAATGAAATAATAAATATAATAATTTTTATACAAAGTATAGTTCATTGTATTCATCCGAAAAGAAATGAAATGACAAAAGACGATCACGAAAGAGATTTATTATTAGTAAAAAGAAAAGGCTTTATTAATATAAAATACAATAGAATCAATAAAAATAGTATGCTTTTATGATATCATTTATTCTAATAAATGTATATACGGTCGACATTTAAAGATGTCACGGAGCAACTCTCGATTCATAAGAATAAGATGCTTGCAATACGTCTTATAAAAGTAACAGGTAAAAATATTTTTTCGAATAAATGATCTATAGATCATGATCCGATCATCAGTCTTCAATGGCATCCTTACCTATTCTAAAGATATTTGGGTCATGGATATTACAATGCACCCCAACTGCATAGGTAAGTATGAGAAAATCAAATAATATAAAAGTTTTATATAATATGTAGATATAAGAAACACATGTGTATTATTATATTCTTAAATATGTACTCTTGAATATATTTTATTTAATCCTTTTATTATGTTTCTATAAATCTATAAATAAAACCTGCAGTTGTTAAATATATTCAGCTAATGCAAAAAATAATTATGTTTATCAACAACTCACACATAAAATGAAATAAAATAATATTCATCAATTAATTGCAAACAATCTGATGCTTTATTGTTTATGTTTATAGTTAATATACGTTTGAGGCTTAGTTTTATTAATTTTCTAAGAATATAAATATATTGTTTACTTAATAGCATTTAGGACTGATCTGGACTTAATTATTTTTTGTGTAGTCTAAGTTTTGCTGGTTTCCGTTCACCAGAGCCTTTCGTCTTATAAGGACGTACTTTTAAATCTTCAAGATAAAAAAAGATATTTTTTTATTATTATTTAAATAATTTAATCAATTATTAACTTAATTTCTGTTATAAGAATTTCGAATAATTTAAATAAATATTTTATATTTTATTTGTTAACAAAATATTTATAATAATCATTCGCACTTGTAATAATTTGTTTAAATTTTTTATTTAAACCCAAAAGAATTGAAGACAGTCCTAAGAATAGACATCTGATCTATTGCAATGACTAAAAATTTTTTTCGTGTGATAGAATGAGAACTAACCTTTGAATACATTACATCATCTATCAAGGGCTTCCATGTAAGAACCCCATCCCCGGGTATTCTTTCAATAGAGATATCGGAAAAAGCAGACGATTGCTAGTATTTTAGTGCTCATGTGCTCCTTCTGTCTCTAGGTTACACAAACACAAATGAAAGTTATAAGAGACCGATGCAAATTTTCTTCGTATGTAAATTGCCAACGAAGTATGTAAATGGTTGGAACATGTGTTCGTATCTAAACCCTTTCTACACTCGCAGCTTTCCCCACCTTAAGGTCTTATTGCTGATGGTGACCGGCTGGCCCAATCTTGCTTCTAACCAAAGATGATCGAACGCGCCCCCATTTGCATATCTTGGATGCTTTCTGCCTCTGTGCATCAAGACAGTTACAATGTAGCTTACTGCTGCATTCTTTCACTAATGTCATTCTCTTTATCTATGTGGAATAATTTTTTCATTAAAAATACCTGTTACTAGAGTTCATTTCATCAACAGACCATGTCAAGTATCCCCAAAATGTTCTCATTAATAAATCATAACAATCATAAATGAATAAAAACTAAAGAAAGTTTGTGTGTAATGGAATGCATTAAACATCCTAACGTAAATCTAACGACAATTTAAATGAAATTAAATAAATTTACATGAAATGATTTATATTAAAAACATAGGCTATAATGAATGTGAGAAAATTCTTCAAGTTTCCGATACAGTCATTTAAAGTGCAATAAAACGCGTTTCCCTTTCTACTTTATATGTAAGCTTCTATTGTTCTTTTAGCAGTATTTCATCTTAGCATATCAATATTATAAAATAATCGAGAGCGTATCAGAGCTCACCAACCAACAACAATTCACTTATTATATTTATACCCTTCGACTAAAAACTGAACAGAGAGACGTTATTGTCTGGAACCAGTTCGCAGCATCCTACTTAGCATACCTGCTTCCTCATCCCTTACGTCCATATCCTAATTATTGTCCTGTTCCCATTGATTATAAAACAGCTTATTATACGCGACCAAGAGCCGCGGGACTCGCGGTTGTTCCGGAGTCTTTACTAATGTTACTACTGCATCGAGGGAACCGAAGCCGTACTACCGGAAGATGGAAATTAAAACGAGCTACAGTTAAGAACATTACAATTACAGTTGTTGAAACTCGAAGACATTAATTACTGTCACAAAATCATTGTTTGAAAATTCATACTTATTTCAACCCTCTGGATTCTGCTATTCATGTATATTAATTACATAATTATTATTAAATAATCAATATTATAAAATCTACCTCTTTTTATTATTCATGTTATTATTATGAACAATAAGAATAATTAATAAATAATGATGTTGAGGTAATGAAGCATTAAATGTATTAATGATAATTAATATCGTAAAATAATTTTTTATTTCCATCTGTATGTTGATAGACAACTGATGGAATTTGTTTAAAGCATCTCTAGTAAAAAAAAATAATACTGATTCTTATATAATTCATATATAAAATCAGCCATTAATGAATTTTAGATTGAAATTATAAAAATTATATAAGAACAGCATAAAAATTGTAAATAAAAAAATGACGTTTGATCAATTTGTTTATGATGGTTTACGATTGAGACTAGTGTATATCAGATGTTTTTTTCAATTATAAAATCTATCCTTCTATTTTTAATAGACAATAAAAAAAATCATTTTCAACAGACTTCTCTTTCATTTTAATAATTTTTTGTATCATTATTTGTTAGGGTTAATTAATTTTAGATTGGTAAAATTGAAATCAAGAACTAAATTAGAACTATTAGAAAATTAGAACCAACATATCATTACAAAAAAAATGACTGACCATCAGTCAAGCTGTGAAAATTCATTCATCATTATTTGTTTAAGTTTAATAAAATACTTATGTAAGTATTTACTCAATAGATAATTTTTTGTGCCTTTCAACGTCTTGATAGATTATTATTATTGTTTAATATTGTCATATTTAATGTATTCAAATGTTGTGTTGAACCCTGATTTATAGCTGCTATAGCAATTGTAAAATGATTGTTGTCGACAAATCTATGCATCAATAGCTATCCGCTATTTTTTAAATTATCGTATAAAAATATATAGCATTTTATTCGGAATAACCTGAAGAAAGCTATATAGAACGACGTCATAATATATATAGCTACACTATACAACTATGGCCTCTTGGATAGGTGCTAAATTCCTCTCTGCTCTGAATTAATCTCAGCTGGAATGTGACTCCAACCTAACACTCCACTTCAAGTTTTCCTCTTGGTAGCTTTAGTCCATTCTAGAACGAAGATTTTCCGTCCGATCCTCGCTCTATTCCATTCCATGTTGTATCCTTTTCTTTTTAAATCGACTCTTTTGTTATTACAAATCCTTCTTTAACAATAATAACGAATAGTACTTCATTTTTAATCCTTTTTGGAATGCAAATAAATAATTAAACATCTTAAATGTGCAAAAGTATTCGGTATACATTTTTTTTTGGTGTTGATTGCATTTTTATGATTGATATATTGAAAGGATAAATAGTTGGTTTTTATTGTTGATAAAAATTCAAAGTCTAGACAGGTATGTCTGTGGATAAAATTAGATGATGTAATAAATCTAAAATACGTATCAATATTGAGCATAAATTAGATAGCTATAAATTGCAATCTTTCAATTGAGAATGCATTTGTTTATAAATTACAAATGAAGCCATTAAAGTCAATGTAAAGTACTTAATGTCTCGCTGAAACTTGACTTTCACTGTATTTATAGCTTACAAGCTTAGATTTATCTATAATTGTAAAACTATAATTAACAAAAGCCGTTTTACACCGTAATTAAACATGTAGTAATATTTTGAAGTACATATAGACAACTATTTATAAATGCAAATAAATTATTGATCATGATTAATTCGAAATTGTCCATAAAATAATTAATGAAGTCAATATATTGTCATGAATATATGAAATAATAAAAACAAAAAAGTTTTGATGAATAATTATTCTGATTAAGAAATAGATTAACCATCAATTAAAAAATTGTTTCCCATCCACTAAATTGTGTATAGCTAAAAGTAAAAAATGCTATTACTTACGAATTCTAGGCGTAGCGAATGGCCGGAAAGCCTTGAATTTCCCTGGGGTTAGAAAATCTCTGGAGAATATTATAGTGGAAGGGAAGACACTAAGAAACGAAATCACCCTTCTTTCCGATCAGGCCGTTGAAGTCACCAATACTTCCGATAACTTGTGGTATTGTTGATTCCATGAACTCTTTCAAGTGTGCTGAAGGATTCAGAGAATAAGAGAAAGAAACTAAGACAATGTTATGGTCACAAATGTTGGTTGAACAGAGACACGAAATATTCAAGACGAGTCGTCACGCGATTATAGTGGGGGTAAAGCACCCTCAAGTATTCGACGTTTAGAGTATTCGCAATGCGGCGTGATGTGGCGCCACTATACAGTCGTCAGTGGCTCCGCCGACTTGCAGAAATATTGTCCGGGTCTTTCTGCTATACAAAATCCCTACCACCCCATTCACACGTGTCCTCTCAACTTCACTAAATTACCGATTATATTAACTGTATCATGATAGTCAAGATCATCATCCACCCATCTCAATAACAACAACTCGTCATTTCAAAATGCTGACGTCATGTGTCACGTTAATGACAATAATTTTACAGGGTTGAAAAGTGCGTGCTCTGCGAGGGATGACCGACGTCGAGGGCTGCAGGAACCAAACGCTCACGTTAGTCTTGGCTAGAACACAGACCTAGCAGGATCTCTCGAGCATCCACATCACCCGTCGCGCTGTTTATTGTGACACTTTTTGTTTTCGAAATTTTACTACTGACATTATCACTATTTAATCATCATTCCTTTTCGTATATCCACTGGATCATTTTTTCAATAAATACTTATATACACCACACATACATATATACTGATATGTGTACACACATATTTATGTTCTACAGTAATCTTCATAATAAGACAAAATCCAAGTTTATTGATAATTAATTAATTAATTGATCTAAACAATAAAAAAAAAACGTTTATCGAAATAAAATAATTGTAATCATCATTAAATATGACAAAACATTGTAATTGGCAATATGTACAATTTAATAGATAATTAAGATGTTAATAAAAAAAAATGTTAATAACAATTAAACAATGATTGAAATTTTCTTTATTCATTAATCAATGTGTTCAAGTGAATGTGTGTGATAAACATGAAACATTATATACAGGCGTATCAAGAAAAAGGAAAATATAATGAACAGGTGATTGTTAATAGAAATTGATTTTTTATCTATCAATAACTACAATACAGTGATACTTATTATTTTTGTGATAAAAAATCCAACCCTTTTTTAGACTCAGTGTTGATAGGAATTATTCAATTTTTTATTTTACTTTGTCAATGTTTTAAAAAGTAATTTTCAAAAATAATTCATTTTTTTAAAATGATAATTATCTGAATACAATTTTTTTTTTTATTTCAAATCAATTAAATTTCATCGTTAAAGATTTTTAGAACTTTTTGTGACAACTTGATCAAATCACCAAAGATTCCAACACTTGCAGATGTTAACAAAATTATCACTGCTCTTCATTCATTCATTTAAAATCTTTAAAATATATAAAATAAATATATGAAAGTTGATCACATGAAAAATATACTAAATTCACTTCTATTATTTTAATTAACCAATTGCTTTCGAGAAATAATCTATAAGCATACTTCTGAATCCACACATTTATACATACCTGTATGTGTGTGTGCATATATATGTCGTGTATAGATAGTGTAACAAACTTTCTCAAACTTTGATAACTATGTTTGAGTCTATTAGAATCATGTCATTTTTGGTAAACTTTTTTTCTGCAATAGAAAAAAATTTTTTTTTTGCAAAACTTTTTGGTAATTGTATCGTAATGGTAATAATATGATCTGCCATCTGGAAACTAAATTAAAGTATATTGACAAAGTAAAAGTAAAAAATTAAATATTTAAAAATCTTTGAATATCGATAAATAATTATTTATTTGAATAGATAATTTTATAGCAATAAATATTAATTAACAATGGTAATTTTTATTGAGGTCATTAGGTGTTTACTTATGTATGAAAAAAAAAATTAAAGTACTGAAACAAGTGATTTTCAAATAAAATTAAAATTAAGGCAACTTTCATTTTTGAAAAAATAATTTTAACAGTTAGACATAAAAGTGGACTAACTCTACACATAAACGAGCTTATTATTGAAGAATTTCAGAGAGTCATAATATATCTTATCTATAGTAGCTTGCGGTGCATGATTATGAAATTGATTACTTTTCCACAATGATATATAATCATACGAATAAAAGTTACCTCACATACATATATATACATGGTTTAGATTTTTTTATAATATTCTGTCGCGTTCAATTCTTGTATATATTTTTTTATCCGTACATTATCTTATCCATTACAAAAATTTGCTTACGAAAAATAAGATATACAAAGCAGTGTTTTAGTTTAAAATGTCCCTGAAGAAGGCTCTTGAACTTTTAATATAAAAGACTTACTTAATAATGCATCCATCATAGACAAAAAGATATTTTATTACAATCACGTTATCGACTCATATTATAAAGACTTGGTACAGCTATCGAGTTTATCACCTTTACTTGTCATTAAGTAGCGTGTGACCAGATGAAGAAAATGACTCTCAAAAGTTTCACTGGTGTTTGATTAAATGAATTCTTGGTACTGATCAGATCAAACAATCATTATTGCAACATCATTTTCTATTTTTAGTTTATTTCATTAAAAAAATTTATAAATATATCTATACATATCTATATATATGAATGTATGAAAGATTTCAGAGTTAATTGTTCGTGTGTGATGAAAAGGGTACAATGTAACCTTGTTAAAAATGAAATATTATTTTTAATAAGAACTTGAAAGTTATTAAAGTACGTTCGAGGGTTAAAAAATTATTACGGATTGACACCCAGAATTCACTTTCATACATATTTATTTGTATATGTATTACAAATACAGCTTTACGTATCAAAGTAAATTTCGAGAGTGCTCGGACTTTTTATCCATAAAATACTTTTTTACATACATTAAAACCAACGTAAATTGGCAAATTGTATTGAAAAATAAAAGATAATTATTCATGTTTTATTATTCGATGTATAAAGTCACTTTTTGTGTTATATTTATGAGACATAATTGTTGCTTATGTATATAAGACATCAAGAATGTGTTGATTAAAAAAAAACAATAGAATAAATATTTTAGTAAACACAGGAAGTATTGGAAAAGAAATCAATATAAATATTTATTGACAACATGATTTACTTTTAGCAAGAATTCATGATTTTTGAAAGAAAAAATAAATAAAATATTTACTATTTATTGTTTATTAAAGAAAGTTGAATCAAAAATATTCATTGTGTGAATTATTGGAAAATTTATTTGCAAAAAAAAAGTTGAAGAAATGAAAAATAATTTCCTGATGAACAAATTTAGAATAAAATGTATGTTAAAAATATAAATTTTTAATTGAATGGTGTGAGAAAATATATATATATATATATAGATGATTATGATTATAATATAGATTGAAAATGAAAGAAATATTGAAATAAAGAAAATGAAAAAGTAATGTATTGAATTTTTAATATGGCAGTTAGTCTTAAAAAGCAATCTCCATTGAAATTCAAATAATAATAATTACATTCACATTGTCAATGCTATAAAGAAAAGTTAAGAAAAGATCGTTAAGTTTATTCTGATTCATCATATAAGATTGATCTTATAAGCCGTGATCATAATTCATCCCGTGTAAGACGCGGTCCGATATCGTCGCGGGCTAACAAGTCTTCGTCAGAAGAAAAAAACATAGCGATTGGTAGAAACAGTGAGGTTAAAAAAGGGCGGATAGAAGTAGTCGGGGAGTTGAATATATGAGATCGGTTGACAAGGATCCACCTTGCCAGCCTCCGATACTTCTGTGTCTTCCCCTTCCTAAAGTCATTTTATCCCCCACTATTATAATAACTTAAAATTGGGCGGAGTCTTGTAGATGGTGGGAGAACAATCTAGTGAATGATTGGTCAATTAATAGACAGTCTTACTCCCACCATTACAATAAGACTCCACCTATACCCCTGCCACCTGCTCTGTACCTCCTCCAAACATTGCATCGGCCTTTCAGTAGCTCTTAGTTTCAGGTCAGATGCCTGCTCGGACGGGTCTTGATTTCTCTCGAGGTTCAAACGCAACTTTCGAAGTGGATATACTACAAATCATCGAATGTAAAACGGTGAAGGATAATAACACAACAATCAATTGACTCATAGTGTGAATATTATTTATCATAATCAATTAATTGAACAATTATTATCTCAAATAATTACACTTAAATATCAACTATCACTTTGAACATTGTGCAAAAAGAAAAAACTCCAAGTGAAACTCGGCTGATTAATTGTCATCAAGTCGACAATTATTATGATACGTCATATTGGAGTTATCAGCCAAGAGATTTCAACAGATTCCACGACATTCTTCATCATGAAAATCATTACTAGTGTATTTAATTAAACGTGCAGTGAATACCAATGGTTATTAATCAATAATAAAAAATGCAAAAACTGATTAATTGATTAATTATTAGTTAATATGTGATTATAATAACAGTGATTGTGAAGTGATTAATCAGTGAACACTGTTGTCAACAATAATCAAAAGAAAAAAAAGAAAGAAAAAGTATTAATGATAAATAAAGTGATAAAGAGATATAAATAAATAACGAACAATGGTTTTTTGCTATGAAAAGTTGAAGCGCGACGAGTGATTAAATTTAATAATGGAACAAGAAATTTTATCAGTAGTTCGAATGTGTTACATTTAAGTATTGAGACGAAATAAAAATAGTGAAGTGGCGAAAAATAACGACGACGACGACCGGAAGGGGAAGGGAGTTTTTAATCCGTCGAAGAAGTTCGAAGCCGTCAAAGTGGCTTCGTCTTTGGGACTTCAGGGGCCGTCTGCGCCGATCGGTTCCCAATTGTTAGTATCTGGCGGTTCGGAGGATGTACCCGCTACCGTGTACCACGCCAACCTGGTAGCCGGAAGCAACAATTCAGTGACAACGGCGTTACACAAGCCACTTCTTACTTCATTAAATTCAGCGGCGGCACTTGCCAGCATGCAGGCCTCTGCAGAGGCCAATTCGTTGGACCTACAGGCCATGCAATCCATGGATTGGTTGTTTAAGAAAGAAAGAATTTATCTTCTTGCACAATTTTGGCAACAGGTAAGTCCTAATCATTTTTCTTTTTTTTTTTATTTTCATCATCAATGCATTTTTAATCAACTTTGAACACATTTTGAATCTCCATTCCTGATAGACAATCATCTCTATGAACGTGTTAGTATAAAAGTGGTAGTTTCGTGATTTGATTATCAGTATATATATATAATACATTGTAAACGTTGATATTGATGTTCAAGCGAACGTTGAAAGGTATACTCCACGACGTCAGGGAAAATAATGGCTTGTTATTTCGTTACGACTTACCTATAGTTGTTTATGCTGACTCGTCAAATATAGGATATTTTAGAATCAATAACATGTATAATGAACAAGTAGTACTCGTTTATAACAATACAATCTAAATCTTATATCTTTAGCATAGTGATACCAAAACGTTTATTTCGAATCATTGTTATCTTCTATTCCAAGTTGATAATAATAATTAGATTGTTTATTTCAATATGTATACTCTCAATAAAATATTTTTTTTACATAACTATACTACTATTTGTATTATATTTTATAAATAATGGTATTGCAATAGTTAAATAGTGACATAAGGAGGTGTTTTCTTCACTCTAATTATTTATTTTAATAAGAAATATTATATTACAGAAAAATAGTTGAAATTTTTCAGTATAAAAAATATTTTTATTTATTAAAAGAATAATTTGATAAGTTTATTTAATGTTAAAAATTGAATTTTGTTTAAATCAATTTTAGTAAAAATGAAATAAGTTACAGGGTGTCTTACATAAATACACCATGTAAAAGTATGTACAGATGATATTATCTTTAATAATTATCTTATGTATATGATGTAATTATGTATATATTCTCGAATAATTAGGAGTAGTTGTTCTTAGACTAATCAAAGCTGATATAAATATGTAAAGACTACATACAATTTCTATCAAAATACATAATCAATTTTCTTTTAATTTGTTTCGAATTGAGAGTCATCATTTTATTTGAATTAAACACAAAGTTACTTTTCTCACTTCATATTTAGCCTTTTTTGTAAACAATATTTTCTAAGAAATTATTATTTTGACGTTTTGTTTATATTACTTTGGGAATTTGACTGTTTTGTAGATGACTACATTTTTTCTACATTGTCTTTTATACATAGAAGTATATTTTTTAATTTTTCATTCAAGTTATGTGAATTAGAGTTTTGTTTATTTTCTTTTTTACAATCATTTGATATTTATATAACAAATTATCTAAAATTGGAAGAAATTTTTTAACTAATAATAATTACATTTTTAATAAAAAAAAATGATACTTAATTTCCATTTAATTGCACGTCTCCACAACTTGTTTTGGTTGGTTAAACCTTGACCACCGGTATTTCAAGTTGTGTGTGCTAAGTATTCCTGCAGTAAATTACCTATTATATGGGTTCAAAAGTTCTAAGCCAAAGTTTTCCCGTGTCGTATTTGAGGTTTGATGGATAGTTAACCCATTCATGAATGTCTTAGAGTGCATCAGTAGTTCAAGTTTATGTACTCAAATTAAATTAAAATTTTAACATACTTACATTGAATAATAAAAAAAAAAATAACTCCAAGCTCATCATCATTTTACTAACAATTAATTTATTTATCCAACTGTTGAATAAACTTTGCTATTTTTTTTCTATTGATTGAATCCATTTTTTTTTTGTGAAGACTATTTTTCTATTTCTATAATAATTAACGTTGATTAAAATTTAATTTTTTTGTTATATGAATGATTAGTTGAAAAAAGCTATCAAAATTTTCGGAGTAACATTTTATGATGAGAATATTTGAAAATTGAACTCTAAAAAAGTAAACGTCACTAATTTTTTAGACAAACGAATAAAATAATCATTGAGACTATTTTTTTTTTTTTTACTAAGAAGTCTCCAATTATGAAAGACTGTGAAAACAGAGATACACGCGTAAAATAACGAAAGAGTGATCGTGGGACGAACGGAAAATTGTCGACGAGGATGGATTGAGCTGCCAGAAGAAACGTATCGGTTTCTATAAATATTGCGACAGCAAAAATTCTTGGAAGGAAAGAACAAGCGAATGAACGACGAGAGAGAGACAAGCGGAAGAGTAAAAAATTGTACAGAGTAGAAGAAGTGCGGGGGAAGGGGCGAAAGAGTATTACAGTGGGAGTGCAATGAGAAAACGGCGAGTGCGCGAGCGTGCAGAAAGGAAAATAAAGCAAAGATGATTCGACACTGATTGGCCCGTTCTTGAGTGCACTGCGCCTTCGACCTTTCTTTTCTCGTCGACTCAGGGTGGGAGAGAAAGCAATAAAATTTTCCGGCATTCCTTGCGGTTTCTTCGTTGGAGTAACATAGATTAGTTCTCAAATCAATTAACTTTGATTTTATTAAAATGAAATTATTCATAAACTCAATTCAAATAATTCGATGAAAATTTTATATCATCATCATCATCATAAGAAAAGTGTCTGTCCTCGAAATACTCTTTAGAAAATCGTGATTGTCGGTTGAATGGACAAAAGTTCTACAGCTTCATCTCCCCCTCTCTTATTTTCCTTCCCCACTTGAGTGTACAACGGGTTAGAGAGCAGAATCCCGAAGGTTTCCGAAATTCCCGGGTGACGGCGACACTTACTGAATAATACTCACATGCCATGAGTCATACACCGCATCAAAGAAACAATATATATATATATAAATATTAAAGTATCATCGCAAAATTTAAATATATTTATTCTGATTAAATATTAAGGAATGAAAAAAAAAATAATTTTGCAACACTTGAAGAGAAAAAGAAAAAGAAAATTAAATATACAATTAGAAGTAAATGAATCATTCGAGTACAAGTTTTTCATTTGAAAAGAAAATAAATGATATGATTTTCTGACAAGAGTAGGGTTATTTGAATTTTTTTTTTAGTCTAGTTTTGTCTGGTTTTAAGAAGTCTGTAGAATTTTTAACCCACACATCTTATGTGGTTCAGCTGCAGCTGATGAATCAAGTGAAAGAATAAAAAAAGAAAAATAAAGCTAAGAAAGACATAAAAAGAAAAAGAGAATAAGATTGAATACAGTGGAAAAATGAAAAAGAAAAAAGATTGCGAATGTGAGAATAAGAAAGATTAAAAAAATGAGTGAGTCGCATTGATGAGTCATCGATAATATTGTACAGAATCGTTATTTCTATAAATAATCATCAAATATTCATTCAAACACAATTTAATTAAATTATCTAAATAAATATAGATAATCAACTGTTCCTTTTAACAATCACGATTCTTCTTTGAAGAAATTACATATTTCAATCATTCTTCCAATGATGAAATAAAGTAGAGAGGCTTTATTTGAATAAACAATACAGATTGGTATAAAAACAATAAACGATATCTAAAACAAGAATTTCTGAATAGTTGACAGAAGTAAAAGATCGTGATCCTCATTTATATACGCAATACATATCGAACGACGCGCTATTTTTACTTGTCGAGTCAGTTTTATTGCCTTAGAGACCAGTTTGTGTTTTATTGCCGAATTAAAAAAATTCAACTTTTTTTATACAACATATTGTACGCATACTTTGTGTTAATGCCTTTGTAAGTTTATTTATATATATATCTACATATATTTTATTTAAGCTTAGTTCAAAAAATTGCCTAAATTTATGCAGGAAATCATTTGTTTAACCCTATTATTATATTTGATTGCAACAATTAATTTTCAAGATTGATTTATGTGTAATATTATGCTAGATGAGTACATTCAATCATGATTGAAACAAACATTACTCTAGATCTTTGTAAATTAAAACTCTTTTACTGATCCATCAGTTGAATTGCAATATATTCATGTGAAATGATAAAAAGCTTCTGTTATTGGAGTTATTATTTTTAATAGTGAATAATATATTAGTTTATTACTTGTAAAAATATTATTTAGCGGCAAAGTATTATTAATGACGCTTCAATGATGATGATGATGATCTGTATTACATTTTAGAATACTTGGAAATATATTTAGGAACGAAATTTAGATCAATCAGGAGAATTTATGACCACACATGTCTTTGATTTATATTTTAACTTCAGAAATACGAAGTAGATAAAATCATAATTAGTTTCGAAATTACTTTTTAAGGTTTTTATATATACTTTTAAATCGTTTTAAAAATTTTTTATATCGACAGCAGTTAAATTAATTAAACTTTAATATAATAATAATAATTCTCCGTATTTTAGAATATATTTAAACATAAAAGACAATTTTGTAGAAATAGTTTTGCTAATTTCATTCCAATTTCGATGATTTTAGGAAACAATAAAAGTATAAATTATCCTTAAAAGAAAGAAATAATTGAACATTAGAGAGATAAAAGAAGAAGAAAGTTTGGAACGAAAATAATATTTATTCTTTAGAAAATATTTTAAAATTGTTGAGTAATCTTGAAAATTGAGTTACTTTGTAAACACATAATATTAAGTTAACAGATAAAATGAATAAATTGACACTGACCACACACATTCTATTGTATTTGGACTGGTATGCATAAGTCTTAAAGGTGAAGTGTGTGCTCTCGCATGTCTCGAGTGTGCAACAGATGCGCCAAGCACGCGAGACTCCGACTTTATACAAAACCAGGGTCGTGAACTCCAAACCTTCCAACTCGTAGTCCAAACTCTGTTTACCATTCGAATATTTGGCAATTCATGAAGAGTTACATTATAAGTAGGTTTGAAGACGATTTACTAGCATCTATCATCAAGTACTTAGCTATGTACTTTCTAAGAATGTGTTAATATACTCTGCTTTATCATTACTCTATCTCAAGATTTATTACTTTTGAATCAGAGTGAAAAATAGGATAAAGACTCGAATGTTTTCATATGAATGGATTTATTATCATGGTTGTTTTTTTTTTTTAATTATTCCCCATGATAATATATAATTAGAGTCATCTAAAAAAGCTCGTTTAGTAATGATATTTTTTTCATCCAAATTAATCAATTCTGTCTGTAATT